GGCGCCGAGAATTGGAGACAGACATCAAGAAAATTGGCCATGAATGGAAGATCCTGGAGAAGCTGGCCCAGGATAGAGATGCCTGGAGGTCTCTCGTAGGTGGCCTATGCCCTTGGAGGAACCGCAGACGCCGACGATGATCGGTGGATGCCCCTCATGGACGAGAAGGCTCAACAACAACAACCAGGGCTCAACAGGGTGAAGTTTTGTTTTTTGCACCAGGTCCGGGTATTTTGAGAAAATAACCGGTGAGTCCAAGCAGTGGCGTGGCGAGGGTGTTTGGCGCCCGGGGACAAGATCCATTTTTAGCGGCCCTTTTTCTTTTTTTCAACTCTCAAACCCATTATTTTCATCAATAAAATAATATCAAAGCACATTTTGGCGCCCCTAACTAGCTGGCGCCCGGGGACATCTGCCCCCCCTGCACCCACCACGCTACGCCTCTGAGTCCAAGTGTTACAAGAAAAGAATTAACTTCTCATTTTAAAAAAAAATATATATGCTGGCCTTTAAGCAATAGGCCTACATGCAGTCCTACATCCTCCCTGCCGGCCTAGAAAGTCCTACAGACAATCATACAGAAAGTCCTACAGACAATCATACAGAAAGTCCTACACAATAGCCGTGGCTATTAATTGAATATAATAGCAACCCCCCTCCCCTCCCAAAAAAAAAAAGTTTCCTTGAGTTCAAACGCCACATATGACAGCCTTTTTTTTCACTCAGTACTATTAATATAAAAGTAGAATTGTTTGTTGGGGTTTGGGGGGGCGGTTTCAGGATACACCAGTAGCAAAATATACATGAGACACCCTCCCCCCCCCACTCCCACAGTGTTACTCGAAGGTCCATTTAGTATGACGTGGTGCGGTGTCAAAAAAGCCACCTTATTAAGTTACATAGGAGGAAATCACGTAAACGGGGGATCACTCTTCAAGACAGCCATGCCTGACTAGCGATTGTATTTGAAATCCATCTGCACCCAGGCAGATCTCAAATATTGAAAGGTCGAGTTAAATGTTGAATTTGGTTTATCGATTCTTTGGAATCGACTTCAAACGTATTTGATTTAGTGGCCAAAAAAAACAAACAAAAAAAAAACAAAAAAACACCCAACATTCGGCTATTTAAAGTTGTATAAGAGATTCTCGTGGCCTATCGAAAAAAAAAAAAGTTAATGAAATACGACGTAACGTTCAGATAATTTTCCTAAACCCTTTACAGCAGTGGTTCCCAAACTTTTAAGTTTTGCGGACCGG